CACAGCGCGGAAATTGTAGTTGTCATGCAGTGCCTATCGAACGGAACGGTGGATCTAGACAACACGGCGATTTCCGCGACGACGAAAAAGGGCGCAGCCCGACCGAGTTGTAAGGTCGAGGTCGGTTCTGGGAGGGCGCCCCAATGTTTTACGTGCTTGCGGGATGTCCGTGTGCATCCTGGGGAGGCTACCCTCGAATACTCTGCGTGTGTTGGCCGTCTGGCGGTCTCTGTTTTTTCGCAGGATGTCCTTATGTCCCAGGTCGGACCGCATGGCCGCAGAAGTGCCGACAGTCCACTACGTGGACACATGCTTGGTGGAAAAATGTGTTTCCATCTTATACAAGCGTGCCCTGTGTCACATCGACTACAGGCGCGTTCCAGCTGCTCTGCTGAAAGCCCAGCAGCAACCCCAAACTTGAGAACGGCTAGCCAACCATCGTCACTTCGCATGAACTGCAGGCATGAGAACTTACGCCGGCCAAGCACAACCACATGATGGACGTTTGTGTGCGGCGTCAGGGTATGAACATCATGTGGTGCTTTGTGCAGGAGACTTACCCGGCAAACATCTCAAGCAGCCCACAGAATGTGTCCTTCCAGGTCGGTCGCATCAGGTGAATTGGGCACTGGATACAGAGAGAGTGTTTGCGCATTGTGCGCAGTGGCATGGTACACGCGGCATGTCGGCCGATGTGCATACCAAGGGCTGTATCGATCGTGAAGTACTCCCACAGGGGATGGCGGGTAGTCAATCATTCAAGCATGAGGCGTAGCAGCATGTGCGATACAGGGTCAAGCAGGCTGCCTCATCTCACCCAAGCCCGACGAGGGCAGGCGGCTGAGGCGTGCAGTATGCATGGCCGCATGTTTCTCTACGCCTGGTTACGGGCCTGTCGCTTCGCGAGGCCCCGAACAGTTTATTATTATCATTATTATTATGATCATTATTATTATTATTTAAAATAAGGCCAAGAACACATACACTTGTTATGCTTCGGTGGATTCGTTTTTTTGGCATAGCGCCAAAGGACCAGCCAAAAAATCGCGGCTTCCCGCTGTGCAGGCCTCTGTTTGCACGGCTGCGTTCACAGACGAAACGTAGCTTGACGCGTCCTGGCTTGCAACGGGGGTGAAAGGCTGGTCAACGAGCGACGCCAGTAAGTCCGTCGCCGCTTGGCTCAACCGGCGCGCCTTCAATCTGTGACTACATTATTTACAAGTTTTCCCGCTTGCGACGGACGGGGGGCATCCATGGAGCATGCACCGCTTTAGTGACAAAGTTGTCGTTGGGCCTCGTATTCATTTTCTCCGTTGCAATCTCTGGCGTGCGGAAAGTTGTTGCGTGCAGTTGGTTTCGGCCTCGGCGCGGGGCTGTTTTCTTAATGCATTGGCGATTCCGGCGCCTGGGGGCTCCGAGAAAATCAGATACGTGGAATGATTCGCGAAATTGTTCTATATCAACGCACATGTTCGTCCGAATCGGTTTGTTTGAAGGAACACGTTTCGGAATGGAAACCCGAATCATGTGTTTTCTGTTTTTTTGTTTTGCACACTCTTTGCCCAGGCATTTGGGATTATCGATGTACGCATGTAGGTATGATGGAGAAAGAGAGAGAGAGAGAGAGAGTGATAACGACAGAGAGGTAGACAGAGAGACAGGCAGACATAGACGGACAGAGCGAGGAGGAGAAAATTAAGGATAACAACGTAGAGAGAGAGAGAGAGAGACAGAAAGAGAGGTAATAACAAGGACAAACACATATAGCACGCCAGTGGTCCTTCTGGGTCAATTTGCTGCCACCACTGGTTGCTGTTCCCAACCATCCTGTGGTGATGGGTCTTCGATTTGAAGAACAGCGCCCCGCGTCCCTCCTCTCTTCCTGTTTCCTCCTCTCTTTTCCCACCTCTGCCTTTGCCTTCCGCATGTCAGCCAGTACCTTGCACCTTACACGCGGTTCTTGACTTGGTAGGGACTTCCACCAAATGCCCCAGAGGCGCCGTTCGCATGCGTCCGCGCCACCAAGTACAACGCCTTTTTGGTCCATGGGAGAGTCCGCCGAAGACCCTGGAGGCGACCTCCACATGCGTCCGCGCTACCCAGTACAGCGCTTCGTTGCAGTACAGGGAAGCCCACCGAATACTCCAAAGGCGACGTTTGCACGCGCCCGCGCCACCCAGCACAGCGCTACGTGACTCCATGGGGAGCTCCACCGAAGGCCCCAGTGGCCGCGGCCCCTGCGCCCGCCCCATCATGAGCCCCACCGAATACCCCGGCGGCGACGTTCGCATGCGTCCGCGCCACCCAGTACAGCGCGTCGTGGCCCCATAGAGAGCCCCACCAAAGGTCTCGGTGGCCGCGGCCGCATGCGTCTCCCCCACCCTGTACAGCGCTCTGTGGCCCCATAAGGAGCTTCAGCAAAGACCCCCGTGGCCGCGGCCGCATGCGTTCCCCCCTCCAACCACTACACACCCCTCACGCGCGTCGTGGCCACATGTGGAGCTCCGCCAAAAGTGGTACCCACAATGCGGTAGGCACAATTGAGTAATTATGGTCAAGTCCTCCGCTTGGATAGTTGGTTTGGTTTGGCCGCATCGGGGATTCTCCCAGGCAGTCTTGGTGTTTTCCTGGGGCCATTTTGGGCCTTTCTATGGGCTACAAAGGCCGTCTGGGATCGTGTTGGGGGCTGGGATGTGAGTGATGGCGTGGCCAGGGGATTTGTAAGTTTGTGTTTGTTCGTCTGTCTGTCTGTCTGTCTGTTTGCTTGCTCGTTTGTTATGTTATTTGTTTGTTTGTTTGTCTGTGTGTATGTGTGTGTGTGGGTGGGGGGGGGGGGGGGGGGGGGGCGGGTGTAATTAGGTGTGACAGAAGAAAATATACCGATGAACACGATGTGTTCCATGCAAATTGCAGGGCATGTCTACCTTTACTTTCTGACCGTCGCCTTACTGGGGTCTCTGGGGGCCAGTTTGAAGCCACCTGCGGGGCCTGTTGTGGCCAGCGTGAGGCCACCTGTCTTTCTGTACACGTCCTATCTTGCACAGGGTGTCCAGAGCTCCGACCATTTTATCTTGGCACGCACGGCACCGGCTCCGCCGCCCTCCCGGCCAGCCCAGTTCTCCCTCGCCCCCCATCCGAAGCGCCCCCTCCGCCACGACCACTTTTTCGGCGCGCGCGCACGGCGCAGGCGCCGCCCACCCGCCTCCAGCCAGCCCCTCTCCCCTCAGCCGGCGCGCCCCCCGGCCCTGCCATTTCATTTCGGCGCACACTTACGGCACCGGCACCGCCGCCCCCCCCAGCTGGCCCAGTTCTCCTTCGCCCCCCATCCGACGCGCCCCCTCCGCCTCGACTATAAATTCGCCACGCACGCACCGTGCCGGCACCGCCCACCTGCCTCCAGCCAGCCCCCCCTCAGCCAGCGAGCCCCGTCCGCCCCGACCACGTTATTTCTGCACACATGCACGGCACCGGCACCGCGCCCCCTCCGCCCCCAGCCAGCCCAGCTGCCACTCGCCCCCCAGCCAGTATGCCCCCTCCGCCCCGACCATTTTATTTCGGCACGCGCGCACGGCACCAGCACCGCGCCCCCCCACCCCAGCCAGCACAGCTCCCCCTCGTTCCCCAGCCCGCGCGCCTCCAGCCAGCCCCATCCCCCTCGCTCCCCATCCAGCGCGCCCCTTCCGACCACTTGATTTTGGCACGCACGCGCGGCGCCCCCCCCTTCCCCCCAGCCAGTCCAGCCCCCCCTCGCCCCCCAACAGGCGCGCCCCTTCCGCCCCGACAATTCTATTTCGGCGCGTACGCACGGCACTGGCACCGCGCCCCCCACCCCCAGCCAGCCATCCTCCCCCTTGCCCCCGCGCGCCCCCTTCCGCTACAATTGCATATTTCAGCCGGCAAAGCCCGCCACATGTGCCCCGACCATTTTATTTCGGCACGCACGCACGGCAGCAACCCCTCCCGCCGGCCCAGTCTAGAGGCTTCAAAAGCCCATCGGAAGCGAAAATGTCACAAGGAACAAATTAATAATTGTCCTAAGAATTTTGAAGGAGTTGGGCTCCTTGGGGGGGGCCGAGGGTGCTCCGAAAGCATGTGGGGTCGTCTTGTAGGGGTGCTCTTGGTTGCATGACGGGGGCCACCTTCAACCGCCTTGAGCTCTCTTGAGCCATCTTGAAGGCCACCTCGGAGAACCTCCTCCACCTCCTCCCCCCCTTTCATGTACAAGAGCCATGGCACGCGTGCCACTTGTTTTCTGGTACAAGTCGGCCCGTCGGGGTCCCTTGGGGTCAGTGTGGGACCACCTGAGGGCCCTAACCCCTTTTGGGGCCATCTGGGCCGCCTGGGGGGTCCTCAAGGAGCGGTCTGGAGGCCTTGCTGGACCGTGGTTGGGGCTCTCCTCGGTTGTTTCGAGCCCCTCTGGGGACCCTCTTGGGGCGTCGTCGGGTCCCTTTTTTGGGCTAACTATCTTGGGCCCCAACTTCAGCCGTCTTGGGCCCCGATTCGGGCCCTCCAGGGCGCCCTACGGGCCATATTGGAGCAAGCTTGGGGGCCTCTTGGGCTGACTTGGTGCCTCTAAAGAGCGAGAAGGCCAATGTGCCGAAACCGCACACAAAAGCCGTGGGGCAATCAATGGATTGTGCGTCTTCTGGGCCCCAACCGTACGGTCGAGGTTGATTAGAAGGTCGGCCCTGCCAGATCAAGGGCACCCTTGTGTCCTGTGCTTTCGCCACCCATGCCCTCTGCATTCCTGTGGTAATGTGGCCCTCGGAAGGGGCTTCTGTCCGTTCGTCACCGCCCACCAAACCACCCCAACCCAACCCGAAGGCTCAGATTGACCCTCGATTTCTAGTGGGGGGGGGGTCCGGGAACATCGAAAAAACACACATGGAGCCCATACCCCCCCAACCCGAAATTCGGGTCTTCGGGTTGGGTTGGGGTGGTCTGGTAGGTAGTCAGTTCGCGTGCCCTCTCCGACCAGCCCCGATTGCACTTACCCATCGTGGCTCAAGCTCGGGCCGGGCGATCTCTTGTCTCTGCGCTCGCTCCCAAAGAGCTCCGCGGGTCTGCCTTGTCCGCGGCCTGGGCGCGCGGGCGGCGCGCCGTCCTGCCGGAGGCCAGCATCGTTCAGAGTGTGAATTACTTACCCCGCTTTCGCTTCCAACCAAAACCAAGCCATACCACGCGCCTCCTCGTCAAGCGGCCTGACCAGTACAGGCTGCAAGTTGGCATCGTTTGGTATCTCTTGGAAGCGAGGGTGGTCAAAAGCGAGGTAGGTTTGTTTTCCCCCTAATCGTCCAACTTCCGGCGCGTCGTGTCTACCCGCGGCGACCCCCCCGCCGGCGTTCACCGCTGAACGTCGCCGGCGGCCGTTTCTGACGTTTCGGAAGCGGCCGATCGCTCCGGGTGGAAAGGTCCCCGCGGTGCCAGCAGCCGACGCCGCCACATCCCCGTCCCCACTGGGCCAGGATGCCTCGGCCCCACCAGCCCGGCCTCCTATCTGGGTGGGGACAGGCCCCGCGAGACCCGAAGGAGCAGGCACACGCAGTGGAGAGCCATGCCAAGGAACACCCTGCTTGCCTCCAGAGTGCCTTGGGCTGCTTGGCTTTCGATGGTTTTGCGATGGACAACGTGACGAGCCCACACCAAACATCAATGCCCGTCCTGGGACCTCAGGGTGGGGTTTCTTGTGGAAGGTCTCTTGTGGACTGACCTCCACTGTACCCCCACCTAATTGGGCGGGCAAGTCGGCCAGCGGTACCAGGGCCACACCTTTGGGGGTAGGGAGCGGCCAAACGAAGCTCAGGAGGGCATGGGCCGCTTCGCGCCGGACAACTTCGCGGCCTCCAGGCAGCGCGACTTTGCAGTGCTCGTGGCCACCGCCTGCGGCGTCGCCGCCTGCTGCCTCGCGGTGCTCGGGGGCAACGCTTGGGAAGGGATAGATTCGTGAGGGAGCATCGACATGGACTCGGCGATACGTCGCCGATAGATCGGCGAGATGCCCGCGATAACGAATCCGCGCGTTCCTGGGCTGGGTATCGGTCCCCTATCGGCGATCAACGGTGACGGGCGATAGGGGGTCGGGGGTCGATTCATTCCCACCTGAGCCTATCTCCCCCCTTACTGTCAAGTTCACAACCGCCGCAAACTATTATTTGGCGACGGTGCCGCCAGAAAATGCTCCAGATGCGAAACTTTGAAGCTCTTGAGATTACGTAATTTTTGTGTCGGTGCCTTTGGTGAACAACTCGGTGCCGTCGGTGTACTATCAAGTTCGGCAGTATGTCGGCCGTATACAAATCCGCTGAAGAAGGCCTGCTTCTCGCATTGTCTAATTTGGCATTGGCGTCACGGGCAAGCCCCACGGACAAAAAAAGCGAAATAAAAGGAGCGACCCCAGGACCCAGTGCCACTCTTACCCAGGGTCGCCCTTGCGTGCAGCCGAGCCACGACCTTGCCAGATCCATCGGGGGAGGACTGCTGCGGGCGACTGCTTCGGCGTCCGCAACTGCAGCCCCGGGCGCGCGCCACTGCCCGTGTCTGCCGAGCAGCCCCCGTCTGCGGGGTCCTGGCGGAGGGGGGCTTCCTGGGCCGAACGAAAGGGGGGGATTGGGAAAGGGGGGGGTACGAAATTTGCTGCATGCAGCTGGTTTCGGCCCCAGCGAGGGGCCAATTCCTCGATACGTGGCCGCCTCCGGCGCCGGGAGGCGCCGGGAAAATCAGCTACGTGAGCTTTGGTAGTCCCCAAACGTGGTGGTGACAACACCTGGCGGTGAGTCTCGGGCGATTTGGTGTCACCACCCGGTTTGGGGACTCGTGCGGTTTTCCGAGGATGTCCCGAACATTGGTGGGTCCAGGAAGCACAAAACCTGGTGGTGACCACGCGTCCCCAAACCCAGCGGTGACTTTTTGGGGGGATTCCAGGTCGCCACCTGGTATCTCACCACCCGGTTTGGGGGGTCCCAGGAGCTGATCCTCAACCCCCCCCTTTGCCATCCCCCCCTTTCGCCCGACCCGACCCTCTGAGCTGCCCCGCGGAGCGCAGGCGTGCGCCCTGCCCCCCAGGTGCTCGTGGCCCTGCTGCGGGGCCGGCGCCGCTGCGGGGGCTCCCCCTGGGCGGCGCTGGCGCCGGGCGGCCCGTGCGGCCGGCGGGCGCGCGAGGGCGGCGCCGTGGAGGCCTCGCTGCGCGAGGAGCTGGATCGCCGGCGGCTGGAGCGCGCGCTGCGGATGATCCCATGGGCAATGGTGCTCTGGGGGAGAAGTTTACCGGCCTGGAACATATCCCTATCCCTATGCTGGGCACCTCCTCATCACGATGCCAATCTCAGGGAGTCCCTCAGTTGTTCAGGGCGAATCCCTGAGATTGTCATCGCCTTTTGGCGCGTCAATATCAGGGATGGGGATACGTTCGAGGCTGGGGAGAAGTGGCGTACTCAGAGAGCTTTGGAGCTCCGTGCGGGTGGCTTGGATGTCGGCGCTGGGCTCCCTGGCGGCGCCTCCAGCGCCGCCCCTGCCGCGCTCCGCGCGCCAGGGAGGAAGGGGGGGTGCAGTGCTGGTCCAAGGAATCCGCGCGTAAGTCCGACACGTCTGTGCAGTTATATGGCTCCTCTAGGCATTGGTCTTTGTAAACTTACTCGTCTTAACGGTCCGCAGTGCGCTGGACGGTGGCTCCGTGAAGAGGTTCGGGTCGACGATTCAGGACATCGCGATCTCCCTCATGAGCAGCATCATATCCATGATGTGGGCATCGCAGTGGGCGCGCGTCTCCATCGTGACGCTCAGGTCTCTGGACTACTGGTTCTCTGCGCTGATGCTTTGCCTGGTGGCCTACATGTCACCATATGCGATCCGGGCAGACTTGGTAGCCTATCGCATGAACATGTCCTGCGGTTCTGCCCTTTTATGTTGCTTGTTTAATTTGAGGCCGTTGGTGAACATCCCCTGGCTGCTCCTGCTGGGCATCATGTCAAGCTACACGCTGATGTTCGGGGAGAACGCCGAGAAAATCCAGGACGACGCTTACAGCTCCCAGGACGTCCTTAGCGACGGAATTCAGAACGTGATCCTCATGGTCGTAATACTCCTCGTGTTCAACCACCTCATGACCTGCATCGTGCGCCTGGAGTACGACGCCAAGGGCTCCCGCCGCGAGCTGTCGGCGACCTACTCGGTTCTCCGAAGCGTTTGCGAGGTGGTGGTCGACCTCGACGAAGAGTTCAGACTGCAGAGGCACCCTGGGAAGCTAGCTGGCATGCTCTTCTTCGGTAGCAAATCATGGGAGATGTGCGTATCCTTGTAATTTCGTTCGCAGAGTGAACTAGCGTCGATTAGCGTCTGGTAATCGATGAGATAGCGCCGGTTCAGCTTCGATTAGCGTCGCTTAGCATCGGTTAGCGTCGATTCGCAAGAGCCAGCAAAATGGTATGGGAGGCTCCCATGGATTACTTACCGCAGAAGACTGCAGAGGCACTCGGGGGAGCTAGCTGACATGCTATTCCTGAACCCCCAGCGCAGCCTCAAGAAGGAGGACTTCCGCTCGTTCCTGGCTTCTGAGTCCGACCGCATCAAGTTCGCGGAGCAGATGGGGCGGCTGGCGTTGCCGTGTTGCCGGGAGGACTGCACGGACTTGAGCAAGACTTTCCAGGTGTTCATAAAGGACAGCCAGGGCATTTCCGTGAACGTGCACGCAGTCGTTGTGCCTTACTTCAGCTGTGACGGGCTCCCGGCATTCATGATGGGCGTCCTGGAGGTGAGCGACTCGATGCCTCTGCCCAGCCGGAGGGGCCGCACGGAGGATGAGATCCAGCCCCAGCGCCAGCGGGTTCGCCAGTCGAAGCAACGCCCGCAGGGGGAACCGCCCAGGCCACCTCTCGGCCCGCAGGAGGAGGCCGGCGGCCACAGCGGCTGCAGCGGCAGCAGCAGCGACGGCGACGGGGGCGCGGACGACATCACCTCCCGCTCGACGTCTCTCGGGCCAGAGGTTGTCGAGGGGGATGCCCCCGACGTGTGGTTGGACGCGCTCTCGGGCGGCTGCGTGATGCTGCACTTCACCGACAGCTTTCAGCACTGGTTCGGCCCCTGCCAGGCTCGAGAAGCAAAAGCACTCTCCTCCTCCTCCTCCTCCTCCTCCTCCTCCTCCTCCTCCTCCTCATCCTGTGGACTGCGTCAGTTCCTCGATCCTCGGTCTCTCATCTCCATGGTCCTGGCGAAGGACCCAACCATGTGCATGTGTGAGTACCGCGTTGTGAGTACCGCTTTCGGTAGAGCTCCCTGTGGGGCCACGAAGCGTGTGAGGGACGTGACCACGTGGGCGCGGTGACGCCATGCGCCATGCGAAAGCAGCCACTGGGGCCTTCGGAGGAGCCTCCTGTGGGGCCACGAAACGTGCGAGGGGTGTGCCGAAATGGTGCGGGGGGACGCATGCGAACCCTGCCACTGGGGCCCCTTCGGAGGAGCTCCCTATGGGGCCGCGAATCGTGCGGGGGGTGTGCCGACAAGGCGCGGGGGGGCGCATGTAAACCCTGCCATTGGGGCTTTCGGAGGAGCTTCCTATGCGGGCCGCGAAACGTGTCGGAGGTGTGTCCGAATTGTGTTTGGGGACGCATGCAAAACTTGCAATTTGGGCTTTCGGAGGAGCTCTCTATGGGGCCACGAAGCGCGTGAGGGGTATGCCGAAATGGTGCCGGGAGACGCATGCCAACCCTGCCACTGGGGCCTTCGGAGGAGCTCCCTATGGGGCTATGAGCCGTGTGAGGGATGTGCCGAAATTGTGCGGGAGGACGCACGCGAACCTTGTCACAGGGACATTCGGATGAGCACCATATGGGGCCACGAAGCGTGCGAGGGTTGTGCCGACATGGTGCGGGGAGACGCATGCGAACCCTACCACTGGGGCCTTCGGAGGTGCTTCCCGTGGTGGGGGGCCGAAATGATGCGGGGAGACACATGCACATCCTGCCACTGGGGCCTTCGGAGGAGCTCCCTGTGGGGCCATGAAGGATTTGAGGGGTGTGCCGACATGGAGCGGGGGGACGCATGCGAACCTTGCCACTGGGGCCTCCGGAGGATCTCCCTATGGGGCCACGAAACGCGTGAGGGAAGTGCCGAAATGGTGCGGGGGGGCGCATTGGGGCCACCACGCGTCTGAGGGGTGTGCCGAAATTGTGTGGGGTGACGCATGCGAACCCTGTCACTGGGGCTTTGCGGGTTGTGCTGGAAGGGTGCGGGGGGACATGTGCGAACCCTGCCACTGGGGCCTTCGGAGGAGCTCCCCATGCGGGCCGCGAGGGCGTGCCGAAATGGTCGTGCGGAGGCAGAGGCAAGGCTGGGAGAAAGGAGGGGCGGGAGGAAGAGAGGAGAGGGTGAGGAGACGCTGGGCGCTGTCTCTTCAAAGCGAGGACCCAACGCCACAGAATGGGACACAAACATCAACTTTCGGAGGTCTGCGTGGAGTTCCCGGATCGGCACAGGAGTTTGCTGGAGCGCGGAGGTCGCAAGGGGCGGCGCCGGAGGCGTCGCCAGGGGGTCCCAGCGTCGATCCGACAGACCTGCGCGGACCTTTTTTTGTTCCCTTACAGGAAGGCGAGCCGTTCCTGCCGTGGATCAAGATAAACCACCGCGAGCAGTTTGCGGCGTGGATCCAGGAGTCGTGGCAGGCCCTCCAGAATGGCGAAGCCTCCATCGAGATCTTCCCGCGCGCCCTTCACTTCCTTCGGTAACAAATCTTGGGAGCCTCGTGTGCCCTCTGAATTCCGTCTGTTGCGTCGGCTAGCGTCTGGTAATCGATGAGATAGCGCCAGTCTAGCTTCGATTAGCGTCAATTTAGCGTATGTTAGCGTCGACCAGCGTCGGTTCGCAAGAGCCAACAGGATGATATGGGAGGTTCCCATGAGTTGCCACCGAACACGTCCTGCCGACCCAGCTGCGCCAGCACCGGCTCGCCTTCTCGGCCACGGTCTTCCTGCGCTTGGACGCCATCCCTGCGGCGCCCGAGCGAGAAAGGGGCATCGTGCGCATGACCCTCAGCTCGAAGAAGGAAGTGCTCCAGAAACATTACCTTTCGAAGATCCACGCGGCTTCCCTGGATCTGCGCCAGCCCCCCCACCCCGGGCGCCGCCCCAGGCCCCAGGGCGGCGCTGGAGGCGCCCCTTGGGGGGGCCCGGTGCCGACCCAAGACATCCGCGCGGGGCGCCGAAAGTTCGTGCTTGCAGCAGGTTTGCGACGTGTCGTCTGGCTGCGGCCCCGCTGCTGGCGTTCAACGTTGAACATTGTCGGCGTCACAAGGAGGGGGGTGGAGGTGGGGGTTGGGAGGGGTGCAACGGGCAACTGGCTGGTGGGTGTAGTGAGCGTCTCCTGGTCAGGCGCCTGAGGGAGCATGCCAAGTCTGCAGTTTGCTACAACCATCTTCCCATAGCTGTAGAACAGCTTGACGGCTCGAGAGTGTCGTAACAAAAAAAACAAAAACAAAAAAACAAACATTGTCGGCGTCACAGAATCGGTCAATGCTGAACGATCTGACGTTTCGGAAGCGGCCCCTCGTTCCAGGCTGAACGATCCCCGTGGTGTCAGAGGCCAAATCCGAAGTCGGCACGACGCGAAGCTGCCGTATGCCGGTTCTTCCTTCTTCTGTCAGCAGCGTCAGGCGCCTCGCGTCCAGCTCCGGCGGACCCCACGGCGACGGTCACCACGGCCGCGGGCCCGTCCAGCTGCTGCCGCCGCAGCCAAGTGACCTCCACTTAATGGCTGCGGTGGCCAGACGCGCAGGAGAGCGTCATGGCGTCTCGCTGTGATTCTCTGCCTCTGGGGGTCTGAGGTGGTCCAGCACTGGTTCTGGCCAGCGAGAAACGCGTGCAGGTTCGAGGTGCTGGGTTTAGGTAACCATTTGTTTTTGTTGTGGCTATTCGGGCGGACCCAAACACCGGTTTTGAACAAACCTCGCTTCATTCGAATGAACAGGGATTTCATATAGAATATATATATATATATACATATACACACACATATCCCGGGGGACGAGGGCAGGAGCCCGGGCCCAGCGACCTCGACGGGGCATGGGGGGCCACCGCCTCTGGAACAGCTCCGAGCCGGCCCCAGACAGCCCAAAGGCGACGAACGATCGCCCAAAGACGCCCAAGATGGGCCCAAGACAGCCCAAGACGCCCCCAAGACCCCCCACGACGCTTCCAAGAGACCCTCCCAGAGCGCCTCAAGACGCTGAAGTCGTCAATGTTACCAAGGTTTTGGAATGATTTTGGCCTTCCCACTGTTTCGACTGTCCGACGCTGCAGGACGGCTTAAGATCAGGAGGGGAAAAAACACACAGACACAATCAATCGTCGATTTCCAAGAAAATATGGGAAAATATGGGAAGTGGGGGGAAGACAAAAACCCAGAAAATACGGAAAATATGGGGAATATTTTTATTTGCGTGTATTTGTTTGTGTGTCCTGGGGCCCCTTCATTAAGAGGCCCCCCAAGAGCGCCCCCAGGCAGCCCCAGACGCTTCCAAGAGGGCCCCAAGACAGCCCGAGAGGGCCCGAGAGCGGCCCCAAGACAGCCCAAGAGAGCCCCAAGGCGGCCCCAAGAGGGGACGTACGAGTCGAAAAGTCGCGCCTCCCGGCTCAAGACTGCCCCACCCAGAACATCCGCGACCGGAAATTTTCGGTAGCGATTTTCGTTTTTTCTGAATTCCAGGCGTTCCCGCAGAGGGCCAAATTCCAGTAACGAAGGGGACCTTCGCGACCGGAAAAAAAATCGGTCGCGACCGGACGAAATTCGGTCGCGACCGAGGGGCAAATTTCGGTAACGGCAAAACGAAATTCGGTAGCGATCGAGCGTGAATTTCGGTAGCAATCTCCTCCAGTGCCATCCTCATCGCCGTCGCGAGTGCGCGAGGTGTGATGATGTGATGTGATGGTGATGGTGATGATGATGACGACGATGTTGATGGTGATGAGGATGGTGGTGAAGAGGATTGTGAACGATACGTATGAGGAGCTGGGCTAATCAACCTTCCAAGTGGGCCACACGGCTCTGGAGGATGAGGGGGGAGCATACATGGACCAGGGAGGGCGGGATGATGATGATGATGATGATGATGGTGGTGATGATGATGATGATAATGATGATGATGATGATGATGATGATGACGACGATGATGATGATGATGCTGATGATGATGGCGAGGAGGATGATGAGGACCTGGAGCAGGAAACAGACTATGATGAGGACTAGTAAGTCTTGCGACGGTGCATAGACCTATGATGCATGATGGTGGTCTGATGTTCTCTGCACGCAAGCAGTCAGCCCCGCGACTGCGCTGCTGCCGACGGAGCACTGGACGCACTTCGCATGATGTCTAATCTCGCCTCGTCCGCCGCCTCCTCATCCGCCTTCCTATCCCTCGCCCGCCCTCCTAACCCTCATCCGCGCTATGGATTCTCCCTTCTTACTCGCTCTCCTCCTCCTTCACATGCAATGCGCCGCGCCGTGGCACCCACATGAAATTGAACGAAACGGGATTGCTTCGACGCTGCCGACTAATGAACATATTCTCGCCCAGTACGGGCGCGACATCCTAATCCTGCGGCCGAGTTCGTACAGCGCCGTCTCAGAGAGATCGTAGGACTCATAGGCACGCACCGCGGTAGAAGGCGCGCCAGAGCAAATTCCACAAGCAACAAATTCGAAGCAAATCGGATCGAAGAGCAAATTCCACAAGCATCAAATTGGAGCGCCAGCCCCGTTCCCTGCTTCATTGGCCCAAACAGCGGCTGTGGGAGACGACCACAAAGTAAATGACGGCGCCAGCACAGCACTGAAGAGAGCACCATTGCAAAAGGATAGCTGAGCACGTGGCAGCGCAGATGACCCAACTTATTGAAGCCAGCCGAACTGCAACGTGAACCCAAATTCATTGAGCCTCCGTCTCAGCACCCGATGTCGGCTCTGTAGCAGAGAATGTGCAGCGCTCCGCAAACATCCACATGACAGCGGCATTGAGTTTGGCCCTCGGATGGATGCGTCTCGCAAGCTCGTCGGCACTATTGATGACGACCGTGTCCGCGCTGACTGCTGCGAGCTGCTCGTCCAAAACTCGCTCCATCTGATGATCCACGGCATGATCCCAGTATGAGGCGTACGGTCCTGACCAACGACTCATGCGACGAAACTCGTGATTGCGTAAAAGGAAAGGCGCTGGCTCCCTCGGAATGGCAGCGGCTCCCATAGCCCTGCAGACAGCAACTGCGCAGGAGTGACACATGGAACCGTCCCATTGAGCTGTGAAAGCAACATGCCAGCGCCATACAGTGGCTTGATAAACCAGTGCTTCTAAATTGAAACTTCCGTCTCGCTCTAAATAGTTGCGAAGCTGAAACGGCCCATCCGGAGTGCCTCGCATGACCAAATCACTCCCGTGGACGAGCGGGCGCAAGGCCGCCGTTGGGTCACTGTGCGTAGTCCCTTCCATGGGTCTGTAATTCGGGATCGGGCGTAATGAAGCCGTGAAACTGGGCACCGCGGCGATCCGCATGCAGTCCGTGCGCCGTGCAATCTCTATGATCGTGGCGTTTGGAAGCTGACCATGGAGCGCCTCATATATGAGCTGGTCGTAGAGAAGCCTGCGGGTCGTAGCGTCGATCTGCCTCTGACCAAGGTATCGACGCAAGAGGCAATCGAGGTCATCGCGAAACGAGAGCGGCGGACAGACGCAGGATACCACAACCACTGCTGGCACCGCTGTAAGGGCTGACCTAAAAAGGTCAAGTAAATCTCGTTCTTGCACGCTGACCCCTAGTTCCCGCAGAGCTTGAGCATGGTGCTGTTCCAGTACACTGATGTCAACGTCTGATGCCTCCCAGTACTCCAAGAGATTAGGATCCATAACGCCGATGGTCTGTGCCTGTCCAGACCAGGGTGTGGGGCGTCACCAGGGGCCCCCACGCAAGGAACCCTCCTGGCCGTGCCGACCCTTGAAAGGGCCAGACCACCGAAGCACCCTCCCCTGTGAGTCGGAATGCCCCTCTCCAGCGTCGGAAAAGACTTCCTCGTTTCTGTCAAGCACGAGCGCCTGCGCACCACGCACCACGAGGCGGCGCGAGGACTGGCCAAGTAGGAGCGCACAAAATGTGGCAAGGAGGGCGTATGGTGTAAGGACCACCCAGTAAACCCACCCGCCCCCGCTCGGGCCAGAGTTGCTCGAGACGAGGTGAATGGAGGTGAGAAGGGGCGAGGGGGAGATGGAACGCCTTGTTGCGGCCTCAGCAACTGCGCCATCAACTAGGACGCTGGGTAGGGCGCAGGGCACAGGTAGGGCGGTCGTGTGGGGAGTCGGGTGGGGCTGCGCCTTGGCCAGGGGGTCGGGTAGGGTGGTCGAGCGCCACCAGGGGGCAGCGGACCACAGGCGGGGGGGGGAGGAGGAGACACGGTGGATGAGAGGGGGGGGGGGGGGGGGGTAGGAATCGGAGGATCATAGTACTTCCTCCCCCCCGTCTTATGGGGGCGTTGCTAGGTTGCGTTGGTTGCGCTGGGGCCTAAAACCGCTACGCGGCGGAAGATCGCACCACATGGATGGCACCATATATATATATATAGATTCATGAGTTGCGCCATATAGGTAGCACCACGGAAGATTGCACAGAACCATCGACTCTAACATGTAAGTTGCATCACATTGCGTGCACCACACACGTTGCACCAGCGCTTGTGGCTCCAGATTGATTGCACTACATAGGTTGCACCACATATATTACATTTGGTTGCTCCACATATATTGCACCGCATACAGTGGCCGTGGCCGTGGTAGTGGTAACGGTGGTAGTACTCGTGTTGATGATGATGGTAGTGGTAATGATTGTGGCTTTGGAGGCAACGGGAGATACATGAACTGGTGGATTGATGCGCAACCCGTTTCCATCTCGAGAGACCGCACCTTCGCGCGGATCGCACATGCTGCATCGCGCGGCCACGCCTTCAAACTTGGGCAACAGTGAACATGGGTCCAGAGCTCTTCTTCCTCCTATTCGTTATCCTCCTATTCCTCCTCCTCCTTTTCCTCCACCCGTTCGCGGCCGAACCGCGTTCAATCCGCAACTAAACGTGACATCTCGAAATCCGCCCGTGCCCAGCGGGCACCATGCCGACGTTCTCTGTCGCCTTGATTTTCCCCTCGTCGGCTATTTCGGCATAGACCCATTAACCCCTCCCCTCTCCCCTCAGTCATCTCATGTTTCCAGCTTCAACCCGCCCCTCCCCTCCAACCGCCAAATGGGCAGTGCGGGGGCAGATGCATCGCGAAGCGTGCGTCATACCTCCCTATGCGCCAACGGTTGCACAGCTTATGCGAAACAAATTGAAATGTTGCTGCCGACCATGATGGAGGCACACACGCGAACGATATGCCTCATGAAGTCTTCTGCCTGATAGCACCAGAACCACCGTGGGTTCATGAATTCTGAAGATTGGGCTATGTGCCAAAAATAATGATGTTTGTTCACCGTGCTCCACTTCAGCTGTTTCTCATCCCTCGCTCGGCTGGCTAAAGCTCCATAAAAAATTAAACAGCGCTCGACTGAAGTCATGCACGTCCTGTGCTGATCGGGCGTCATATACATGCCAGACGATTCCACCACTTTGTAATACTCGTTGAGATGCTCTACGCACTTCGTGCGCATACGTCGAAAGGGTGATCCATCGTCGTAGTGCTCCTTGAGCACGGCTAACATCACTGGCACCAGATGTCGTTGTTTGGCGGCTTTTACTTCCTTCTTTAAACAAGGATAATCCCCATGAGGTGTTTTTTCGTTGCTGACGAAATATCTCAGACCGAATTGCCCCCCTGCCTGGCAATTTCCAGGCTGGCGGCACGTTCGCCCCGTCGCCTCCTCGCTATTTCTCTAAGCCTCCAACCCCATTCGCCGCGCCTCTCCCCCCTCCATTTCCTTATCCCCACCCCCCATTCCACCGTCATTAGATTATCCTCCGGATCCGCATCCTTCCTATCATCTCTATCTCCTCGTCCCTTCTCTTCCTCCCCATCGTCAGTATCCTCATCTTCCGTGCGCCCCAACTGTTCCTCATCCTCCACCTTGTCTTCCCCCTGTCATACAATAACATCCTGATCATCATCGTCATTCTGGTCAGCGTGAAATGCTTATGCATTGGGCGGGCGGCTCGCGCAGCATTCACGAATGAAATCCGACGTTTAGCCCCCTGCTCCTTATACTCATCCTGGATGCGCCCCCAAAGCTCGGCAACAGCTTGCTTGACAGTTTGCCTGGGCCGACGCTGTTCGAATACAATCTCGTAGCAGCAAGTCCCGAGGATATGGCTGGTTACTCCTAGGTCCACTGTGTGCATGGAATCGATCGCGAGGGCGCAGCCCGTGACCCCGTAGATTTCAAACAGCGGGTGGTCGAATTTGTACGGGCGGTCTGGCCGAGATTGAAGCATCCAATGGTTTGGGATCCGCTCCTCGCAGATGTTTCCTTAGTAGGGGCTTGATGATCACGCATGCCCCCCCTTTCTTCACCCGCCCCCGCCCCGCCCGTTTCCGCCAGCCATCCCGCCGCCGCGCTCGACAAAACACATTGCATGGCGCGAAGGCGAGATAAGCACGGGGGATTGGCGGGGCGGGGGGGGGCTGAGCATGCGGGTGGGGGGGGGGGGCATGGGTGTTCATTTAGCCCGCCACGCGGAAACATCCACTGATTTGATCCCCCGTATTTCCTTCACAAAGTCATTGAACGGATTCGAGGACCGATTTGCGCTACATGCCCAACATGGTTCGACAGCATTCGGCGCGGGAGTCCCCAGATGATTTGCGAAAAACTCAAGGTCCCCTATCGCGGAGTGGATGAAAGCTCGGTAAGGTAGTCGCTTATCGCAGAGGTAAGATCCCGCAAGGTTCCCCCTCTTCGTGCCGCGCGGGAACTTCTTGCCCGCCCAGCCCGCCACATCCGTTGGATATCAGCAGGTGCATAGGATATTGATTCTCGTTCCCGCCCTTCCTCCCCCCCCTCCCCCCTCCATCCCGCTTCCCATCCAATTTAGTGCTATCCCCATCCTGATCTTCGTCACCTTCATCCTCCGCATCCTTCACCCAGCCACTCTTATCATTTTTCGTCTAATTATCCTCATCCTCCCCCTCCTCTCCCGCATTGTGCCCCTCCCCTCCTTATCCTCTTTGTCCTTGTCCTTTTCGCCATCCTGTCCCTCTGCGCCCACCTGTTTCTCCTCTTCATCACCTTCCTCCACCAACCCGCCTCGAATGGGCGAAGATCATCGCCGTCCAGGTGCCGCGGCGAAGCCAGCCCAATCTTTATCTGGATGCTTGCCAGTCGCGAGTGCGTTCCAGCTCCATTTCAAAATCTGCCAAATGTCTAGCCACGAGTCCGCTTCCTGCGGGTTGTGTTTTTTCTTTGCTGTTACAGAGTAGGGCATGGCCGTAATCAGGAAGCAGAGGTCCTTCGTGGATCCAGTGGCGAGGAGCCCTGTAAATGACAATATCATAGCAGAATCGTGGCTGATCATTTCGGCGCCGTCGCCGTGGAGTTGCAGCGGGATGCAAAACTTGGAATGCTCCGCCACTTTCCAAATCGGATGGGCCCTCATCCGCGGGTCTCGCCTGCGGGACTTTAACCAGCGTGAACTCTCGAAATCCGTAATCCTCCACCTCGTATCCCCCGTGCCCCCATTTCCCCTTCCCCCCTCCTTACACCTCTTCAGATGAGGTGCTGGGAGCGGATGCACTAGACCCTTCTACCCTCCCCCGTCCCCCACCACCTCCCCTTTAAGTCCTCGCGGAGGGTGGCGAGTGATATTTCGCCAGCCGACGCGTCCTTGACGCGCCGTTCCAAAATTGCGGGAGCTGAGATACTCCAAACAGCCGCTGGAACTCCTCGGGCTGCCTGTGAAACATCGCCGAAAAAAGATCGTGTGGAAGGAGCACTTCCTGGTCGCAACTGATTATGTCAAGCGTTTTCGGCTTCAGCATGTGTATACTTATCACCTCTGGATCTGGAAAGCTGTTGTTTTGCAGGTACTTTCTGGTGAGCGCGCGGTGGGTGTTCCCTGGCTGGGTCCCCCAAGATCCCATGGCTGACACGCTGGCGATTTCTGGGATCTGATCCAGGCCGTCTTTGTAGGCAGCGTGCAACAAGCTCTGCGCCTCGGTGCCCTGGATGTACCCCCACGCCCACTTGCGAAGCACTAGGGTCGACAGGTTCCCATGTTCCGCCACCACCTCGGGTTCATTATCAGGGTCCGGGTCCGAATCTGGCTCGGGCGCCTCGGGCGGCTCTTCCAATCTGCGCTTGCTCGCGACTCGTCTCATGTCGCACGAACTCCTGGGCCAGAATGGCTGGGCACGTGAGAAAGATTGCGCTCCCATTATACGCCCTGCTTCTCCTCCCTCCTCTCCCTCCCCCTCCCCCATCGTTTGCCTGCCCTTCCTTACTTGTGAGAGGGATCCCCCGCCACGCCGCTAGGTGCGAAGTGAAAGGCGCTCAGAACCATTAGAACCCTGAATCTTAATCCGCGTGCTCTTGAAAGGGCGCTGAGAGGCCCCATCCGACGAACCCTCAGAGAGATCCAGACAGCTCCTGGTCCACAACCTGGGCAC